AACTAGCTTCGGGCAGCCACTCAAGTGAAATGGCTCTCTCTTCACGGACTGTGTGGCAAAGTCAGTGGCCTTTTCTTAGGTGTCATGCTTCAGATGATTTATTTCTGTTTCCCCTGTCACCCAGCTTAGCAAACTGAGCAATTTCACTATAACTCCTTCATCGACCGTGTCCAATCAATGGTCAAGTCATGCCATTTCTCCTGCAATTTATATTTATCTTGCACATGAACTTTTTCCTATATCCTGCATCACCCCTTGAGTTTGTTTCTCATGTCCTTTCCTGGGTTAGCACAAAAAATCTTGTTTTTCTACTTTTAATCTTTTCTAATCCATCCTCCTCAAGGCCACTCCATCCAACCTCCTAAGTAACCGCTTGAGTCATGCTCTTCCAGAGCTCGACCTTGTTAACTGACCTGTATGCACACTGGAGAAGCCCTTCATCTGGTCTCGCCAGCATTTACAGTTCAGGACTACACAACTTCCAAAGGTCCTATCCCACCATTCCCCGCCACAACCACTGGCCTATACATTTTCTGCTTTTTCCTTTGAATCTTCTCAACTTTGACATGTCCCTTCTCCCTCCATCTTCACTTTCAAACTCCCCATCAGACTTTCATATCACCTTGGGCTGTCCCTGCTCACCTCACCTAATTTCAGGGGCATTTCCTTCAACGCCCGTAACTCCTTGTATTCCTTACTTGCACCAACTGCTCTGTCTCACATTTCGTTGCTATTCCTCTCATGAACCATAGATTCCTGAAGGGGATCCTATACCCTACTAGGATTACATGGGGAAATTGTTTCTATGAGTCCGATAAATAAAGGGAACACCAAACTCAACTCCTTCCTCAGGGCAGGCTTACAAATGCTCAGGATGCCAGTTTGAAAGTTGATTGTTTTCTTGCTTGAGGATCAATGAGACCAAGCCATTTTATAGTAAAGAGAGGAAGGAAGTCACACAGGGAAAGGAGAGATACATACTGGTCCCAGAAACAATTATGATACAGTTAAAACGAACATGGTCGCCCTTCATTAGAGCTTCCTCTTATCTCCAGTGCTTCCTCTCACTCTGGGCTTCTTAGGAGATAAACGTGAGGCAGGATTTTCTACTGAGCTGTGTGTCCACTCTCCCCCAAAATATTAAGCTGTGAGGCTTAACATAATCCAGGTGTATTTACATTTAACGAGATATGTTGGGGCCAGCAGGTGGCATGGATGGTGAGGAGCTGGATCCCACATCACCAGCTGGGCTACTTGAGTCCCTGACCCATCAGCTTGAAAATCATGCCAGTTGTGTGTGTGCACATGCCCCAAATCCAAAGAGGAGACTGGAGGAGAAGGGATTGCAGTGTGACCATCTCCCCAGTGGGTGATTTCTCACTGTCTTTCTCTCTTTCTCTTTGTCTCTCTCGCTGGTGAGTATATATGCCCTATAGTAAAAGTAAAAAAATCTAAAAATTAAAAAAAAAAAAGATATCTTAGGAGACAACAAAACAGTAGAAAGGGAACCTATTTCCATTGATTATTTTCTTATTTGGTACCAGGTAATTCCCAAGGGCTTCAGGAGTTTAGCTTAATCTTTCAAAAGCAGTTATGACTATCACCTCCATTTCACAGATGAGAAAGCTGAGGCATACTGAGGCTTAGTGCCTTCCCCAAGGTTACATAGGATTTAAACAGTGGGGCTCCACTTTGAACCCAGCAAATTAGAAACCAATCTTTAATCTTCATGTTGCAATCTACTACTTGTATGGAAGTCCAAAGTAAGTCTTCAACTAGCTTTGCTATCACCTCTCCTCAAATCATGACACAACTAGACAGTCTGACCAAGGACTTTCTAGTATTAAACCAAGAGATCTCCAGTCTTCAAAACCATCTTATGCCTTACTCATCACCTCTTTTTAGTCATTTAAACAAAGCAAATTGATTCCTTACCTGGGTTTCCAGTATCTCAAGGCTCAAGAGCTGAATGAGTGCCTGTTGCAAAGTTCAGAGTGATGCAATGATACAAGTCTCTCAAGTATAATGGGAGAATGAGTGAAAGAGGCCAGGCCTGGGGTTGGGATGACTGAAAGATACCAGGTGACAGGAAATCAGTAGCTTCTGCTACCTTGGGCTTTGCTCCAATCACTTTACTTCTGTATACACTTACCAGATCTGAAGGAGATACAAAAAAGGTTTCTGCCTTACCCAGAGGTTTCACTTCTTAAAAAAACACCCCACGGGACTGCCTGGTGTGCTTCATGGTACCTTAATTAGAAGAACTTCTGCAGTCTCCACCCTGTGAGCAGGTGTGGATGGTGGGTCCCTAAGGGTAAGAAGGGCTCTAGAAATTCTCCAAAGATGGGCTGTAGGGTGAACTTTTACCTTCTTGCTTCACTTTTAGGGGTGAGTAGGTGGGGGTGAGGCATTCATGCAGAGATTTAAAAATCATTGAGCCTGTACACTAGGGCGAGTTGTACTTATTAGTCTCCAAATATTGACCTCATTTGCCCATACTTAGGGTTCTAATGGACCATGTATGTCCTATGTCAGATTTAGCAGAAATGGCCTAAAAATATAGCTTGGTGCCGTAGAACATGTACCCAGAAGCTTGAGGCAAGCGTTAGCCTTCATATTTGGATATTAAAAAAAAAAATAGCCCTTTAACCTATGAACCTCTCCTTTCCCTCCATCTGTCTGGTGCCCTGGGTCCCCTCTCTTTCAGTCTCAGCTGGAGCTGCATGGCCATGAGACCCTGTGCTAGATCAAGCAGTGAAGTGGAGGAAACAGGGGTATCAGGAAAGTCTAAACATTGGGAAGACAAAGTTTCGTCCAAAGATATTATCACCCTCTCCCTACCATATACAACCTTTCTTACATTGAATTTTAATTCCCTTCTTTTTTTTTTTTATTTTGAGTGAGTTTTTAACTATACGGTGCATGCATTTGCTGGAGAGACAGAGAGTGATAAATCATTCTTCCCTATCCAGGGGGATGGCCAGGCTGCAGTCCCTTCTCCTCCCTTCTCCTCTCAGGATTCTGGGCATGCATGCACAGGCCTGGTATCTCTCAGGATTCTGGGCATGCATGCACAGGCCCGGCATGTTTCAAGCCACAGGGTCCAGGACTCAAACTGCAGTCAGCTACATGGGAAATCAGTACCTTAACCACGACTCTACCTGCTGACCCTAATTTTAAACTGCCTAGCCCATTGCTTTATTTCATTAGAGCATAGGCGATTGTTAGGTAATTATTTGTTCACGTAATTGAAAGGGTTGATATACAGCAGCTCTATTATCTATTCTGAGGTTAATTCACCTCTTTCTTTTTTTCTTCCCCCCTCCACATCTATTTTCTTTAAAATGGCTTGGAATCATTGAATTAGAACCAGTGGGTGTGTTCGATATCAGCTTGGATACCAGAAACAGAGAGTTAAAGAGGGACCATAGAATCTTTGACTTTGTAGCATTTACCAAACTCAAAATACCTACCTATATCATGAGACACAAGAAACAAAACATGGGAAAAACATATAAAGAGTAACAAGCTGGAGGAGTATCTGTAGGACCTTGGGGGCACATCTTTTGAGTAAGCAAAGGGTCTAAAGCAGGGTAAAATGGACCCTGGGAAGAAAACAGGGCCTGCTTTCTTCCCTGGGTACTGGCTGTTCTGTTTATGGATCACATCTTGTGTCTCTGTCTCTCAATAAACCTGGGCCCTGCCTGCCTCCCTCGGTGCCTGGTGGTTCTGTCTAGGCAACACTATTTCCATCTCTCAATAACCCTTGAACCCAGCAACTTGTTTCTTGGTCCTTCAATTCTGTGCTACAACAGGAACCACTGACGCCTATTTCTGAACCTAATTTGGGGTCGTGACTCTCAGGCTGCATAAGGTAAATGCTATTCCCTCTTTCTTTTATTGCCTCGATCCTCTTTGCCTACTCACCTACTCCTTCTCCCTCTGTCCGTCCACACCGCACGGTGCAGTTGGTGGTGGCAGCTCCCAGTGAATCTTCAAGTTCCAAGTCTTCACTCTCTACCTTCAGGCTTGATGGAAATCCTTATACAGGTCTGCTGGCAAATGAGGAAGCAGTGACCAAGGCAACTCTTTGGCATGCTTCCAAAGTCCTCAGACTGGGGACAGGAATTTTCTTGTCCATTAGCAGAGCAAGCCTTGGCCTAACCTTGTGTCCTTTCCTTTAAGAATTTTCTACTTTCTGGCTTGTGGCTTGTTAGGGATTTTTTTTTTTGAAAGACTTGTTAACAAATTCCTTGTTGGGGATTTTTTTCCCTCCCCTTGTTGGAGATTCTTAACTGGTCGGCTGGGAATCGGGGGTGGGGGTGGGGAGTGGTGGCAGCCAAGGCAGACTCTTTGGCACCCTTCCAAAGGTCTCGAGATGGAGACAAAAATTTTCCATGATCATTCCTGAGCAGAAGCCTCTCCACTTTCATTTTCTGGAGGTTGGAAATTTTCTACCAGTTTGCAGAGAATGATGGGGATCCGGGCAGGAAGGGAGGCAGCCGCTGTGCCCTTCTTAAAGGGGCCGGGAAAAGGCGACAGGTTGTGACTGAGGAGCGGAAAGTGGAAACTCCATATGACTTAACATCTCTCCAAAACAGAACGAGAAGGATGGAAATATATCACCTGAGAGTGAGTTTTTGGTGACTTGTGATGTTCCTGAAGATTTAGAGGAAAAGCTGAGAACATTTCAAACCATGCTGTCATTGAAATGAAGATTGACAAAGATCACTGCTTAGTAGTCCTGGATGAAGAAATCGGGGACATTTCAACAGATAAATTTAAAGATGGACTACCTGAATGACAACCTCAAACCTTCATTGTGTGCAGTGATAAATATCAACTTGACGATGGAAGGGTTTCATGTCCTCTGTACTTCATTTTATCCAACCCTGTTGGATTAAGCCCGAACAACGGATGTGTAGGCTGGGAATAAAAATAAGCTGTCCAACCAGCTGAACTAACCAAGGTGTTTAAAATCAGAAATACCAAAGACCTGACTGAAGAATGGTGGCGTGAGAACCTTGGATTTTTTCACTCATTTGAACGTCTGTGTTTCTGAAGTATTTATGTATTAACCTGACCATGCTGGAACCAGACATAAATACTTATTTAGGCCTAAAAATGCACTGTTACTTACAGTTTGTTTCCTGCGGTAAAGAAAAAAATTCATTTGCACAAAATTTGAACACAGAGGAAACGATCTTCTTAGTAATGAAACTCTGTGAAGTGTTTCTTTATATTTGTAATTGTTAGGTGGATTACTTTTTTCCAGGGACTTTACGTACTCCTTAGGACTGAATTCTCTAAGTTACGGTTCAGAATTTACGGCTATTGGAGAATAAGTTGTTTATAATGCTGCAGAAATGCAATTATGTAATGCAATTGAGTAGAGAGTGTTTTTGATGCTCTAAATAAAGGAAATGAACTTTAATTTCATTTGGTTCACAGCAATAAGAGAAACTTAACTAGGGCTGGAAGAATGTATTTTTTAATGAGGTTCTTTATTTTGTCTTGCATGTTCTAGTTTAGATTTTTTTAAATTTAGTAGTCCTTCATATTGTCAGAAAATATTTATCTGCCATATGCAGAACGTTTAATTTTCCAATTCTAACAGTAGCAAAGAGTGTTAAAACACATGCCTTTTTGAGCTTGTCTGATTCCTTATCAGTAACATACATTTTTGCAATACAACAGATTTAGGTTAGGGAATCCATGAAACACTATTATTATTATTACTTTTGAGATGTTTTGGCTATAGGGCATCTGCCCTCACCAGAGAGACAGAGAGGAACTGAGAAACAGAATGTGACAAATCATCCCCCAGAGGGGATGGCCACCCTGCAATTCCTTCTCCACCATTCTCCTTTTAGGATTTTGGTCACACACATGTGAGCCCAGTGTGAGTTTCAAGCCACTGGGTCTGGGACTTGAGCCACAATCAATCATGTGGGTGTTTAGCTCCTTAACCATCACACCACCTATTGGACCCAGTAGATCATTTTTTAATGAAGTCTGTTCTATATAGAGACTTACAGACCTCATGCTCTAAAGTGTTCTCAAATTTTTTAAAAATAAAATTTCCTTTCATCTACCTAACTTTTACATTTTTTTCAAGTACATTTCCTACTTAATCTCTTTCTGCCTTCCCTCTAATAGTAACTCCAGATTTTATAATTCCAGTTTTCACATTCCATATCTTCTTGGTACAGCCATTCCCATTCAGCCTTATATCTTGTTGTTGTTGTTGTTCTCCTTAGGACTGAATTCTCTAAGTTACGGTTCAGAATTTACGGCTATTGGAGAATAAGTTGTTTATAATGCTGCAGAAATGCAATTATGTAATGCAATTGAGTAGAGAGTGTTTTTGATGCTCTAAATAAAGGAAATGAACTTTAATTTCATTTGGTTCACAGCAATAAGAGAAACTTAACTAGGGCTGGAAGAATGTATTTTTTAATGAGGTTCTTTATTTTGTCTTGCATGTTCTAGTTTAGATTTTTTTAAATTTAGTAGTCCTTCATATTGTCAGAAAATATTTATCTGCCATATGCAGAACGTTTAATTTTCCAATTCTAACAGTAGCAAAGAGTGTTAAAACACATGCCTTTTTGAGCTTGTCTGATTCCTTATCAGTAACATACATTTTTGCAATACAACAGATTTAGGTTAGGGAATCCATGAAACACTATTATTATTATTACTTTTGAGATGTTTTGGCTATAGGGCATCTGCCCTCACCAGAGAGACAGAGAGGAACTGAGAAACAGAATGTGACAAATCATCCCCCAGAGGGGATGGCCACCCTGCAATTCCTTCTCCACCATTCTCCTTTTAGGATTTTGGTCACACACATGTGAGCCCAGTGTGAGTTTCAAGCCACTGGGTCTGGGACTTGAGCCACAATCAATCATGTGGGTGTTTAGCTCCTTAACCATCACACCACCTATTGGACCCAGTAGATCATTTTTTAATGAAGTCTGTTCTATATAGAGACTTACAGACCTCATGCTCTAAAGTGTTCTCAAATTTTTTAAAAATAAAATTTCCTTTCATCTACCTAACTTTTACATTTTTTTCAAGTACATTTCCTACTTAATCTCTTTCTGCCTTCCCTCTAATAGTAACTCCAGATTTTATAATTCCAGTTTTTACATTCCATATCTTCTTGGTACAGCCATTCCCATTCAGCCTTATATCTTGTTGTTATTGTTGTTGTTGTTGTTTTTAACCACAGGGCATGTGTGTTCACTGGAAAGAGGCAGAGAAAGACAAAGGAGAGAAAGTGAAAAATAAATTACTACCATTGGGAAGGTCAGGCTGCAATCCCTTTTTCTGCATTCTCTTCTCAGGATTTTGCATAAGCATGCAGACACACCTGGTATGATGTTTAAGATGCCTGATCCAGGACTTGAACTGCAGTTGACCAAGTGGGAGTCCAGTGCCTTAACTATTACAACACCTGCTGGCCCCCAACCTTAAATGTTAATCCTCTGTTTTGAGCAGCAACTTTTTCCCTAGAAACTTCCTACATGCTCTTGTAAGTCAGCATTAGTTTTGAAACTGTTGGCTTTGCATAAGTTCTGCATAGTATCTTATGTTGAAAATAGAGCCAACTATGAATTTCACATATGTATTTAGGATGGTTTCTGTGGCAACATCAATGACATGAAGAAAACTGTTCTCAGGTTACTATGCTAAAATTCCAAACTGAGTTTTGGATAATATTTACTTTGTTTTAGCATTGAAGCAATTATGTTAGGAAAAAAAGTTGGTTGACTGTTGTGTTTAATTGACTTCCCAACGTTTCAATTGTCTATTTCTAAAAAGTTCACTAAATGCCTATTGTAGTTAAATGTATTCTTGTTTAAGCGGGTGTTGCCAAATTTTCTATTGTCTTTACTAAATAATCTATGTGACAAAATGTCAGTACTTTTCCGTCCCTTTTTATTTCCTATTTTCAGGAGTCAAATGTAGCCATAAACTGTATCCTGATCTGACACTTTAACATTTCCAGTCAGGGGAGTTTATTGCCAAACTGAATGTGGCGAGTTTTCCTCCCCACCACATAGGGTGGGGGGAAAGAAGATGTACTTAAAAGAAAGGTGTGCTTAAAAAATGTTTGGACTACTTCTAAAACTTAAGCAGTGTCATTAATACATATCTGAGCTAGTGATGAATAGATATTTTCTTAAGAGTTCAAATGCTGGTATTTGGTGGAAGTAGAGAGCAACTTGTAGTCTATAAATTCAGGTCTTCTTGGTATGGTTGCTTTCCCTGTTTATTCAATAAACCAATAACACTAGAATCTAGTGTTTGAGACTTTATAATCCATGTAAAGAAGTGTTTCAAATATTTCTGGACAAATCTCATTTTGTATTTTTGGAAGAATGTAAAGAATCACTTAGACCACTTAAAACAATGGTCCCAAGTTGAACGTTCTTGAGAAATTTGTTTCCTATTATGCCATTTGACATTTAAAATCAGTGATCATAATTCTGTAATGTTTAAAACAACTACATTTAGCTTCTGATAGAAACTGTATTTTATTTTAATCTTTTTGGGACTGTAAGTCACACACGTGCAATTAATTGACTATTGCTTGAGATCACTAATATGCCAGGGTAGTTCCCACTAATGAAGATGATTCAATATAATCTCATTCTGGAGGCTTGAAGTATTATTGGTTTAGGCTCATGAATTTTAACAGTTCTCTGGCATCATTTAACAAAAACGAAAACTGGGAAAACATTAAAAAAAAAACAAAACACTACCCTGGTAAGGGTAATGGTCAGGGCTACTCCTTGGAACACTTCCAAAGCTCTACAGGAGGGAATAGAACATTCCCTTGACCATGTGCTGGGGCAAGCTATGTCTGACTCTATGTATTTCCTTCTATGTATTTCCACCTACAAACTCTGTTTCCAGAATGCATTTTCCTGTCACTACATCTTTCTGCTCTTTGTCCATCTTCTGGTTGCTTCTGTAAATTACTTGTTGGCCATTTCACTAATAATCTCTCTCTGGCATTCCCTAGGGTCCCACTCCTGGGAAGGAAGGAATCTTCCAGTCCTTGTGGAACATGGAGCACGTAGTTCCCCAGAGTTGGTGTGCAGCAGGCCCCCTCTCCTGTTTTCTTCTTTCTGTCCATGAACAGCATCCACAAGCCACCAGAAA